GACACGACTATGGGTCGCGTCTTTGTTTAAGAAAGAGCTACCCGAGATAGCCTGAGCCACCTACAGGATTACATGTTAGCCTTTCCGTGTGACATTTTGGAGTAGAGAGAGAAGAGAAAATGGGATAGGGAGCAGAATTACCGACTGTTGGGATACAACGTCGGATACCCTCGTGTGGTTTAACTCGCCGTTCGAGACAGTTATTCGGGTGTGGCCGCCTGGCAGAACCTAGCTTTAGGGAGCGCATCTGAGATTTGGGCACCAGTAAGGCGCTGTGCAGGTTTATCACCACCTGCTTGATGCGGCTTACTACACCTTCACGGTTTACCCCCTAACCGCACACCTTTTCATCCCCTCTTCATTGTATACTGACCGAATAACATGCCAGGGAATGGAATAAGCTATTATAGGGTTTAATCCGTCTTTGGCATCTTCATAGCACTTTGTACAAATATATGTATACATATAGGGAGACGGTAGATCGAACAAAATAAGCGGTTTGAGGGTTTTTGTGTCTTCAGAGTTTTTCGCTGAAAAAACCATCCGACTTGGTCTCCATAAGAGGAACTCTTCCGTTCTTCGATTGACCCGCCTCAGTTTGAAGGCTTCTGCAACGCTGAAGTTTAATTGTGGTCACTTTAGGTTTCCGCCGTTTGTTTATAAATCCCAGCGCCCACCAAAAATAGATGCGCATAAATATAACCCTGAACTTGCGGCTGAACATGTAGTAGGGGATTATGTTGATCGAGGCGTTGAGGATTATCAGAAGATTGCCAACTTCGTTAACAACCAGCCAGAATATTGAGGTATTCGCAGACTGCTTTTGGGTGCCCCACAAGACGTGACTGACAGACGAGGGAATCTAAAAAAAGGAGGGGAATCGTTGATTATGAAGGGGAACGTTACCATTTGATGCTGGTAGCCAGTCGTAGTCAAATTCGTGACCCTTTCCCCGATAGACTGCGTCCAAGGATAAGCTAATTTTAGCCCGGAATTAGAAAACGGAGAAATTTGTGAGTGGGGCCAGCGCATTCCTGCTAGCAAATTTGTCCCTCAATGGAGTTTTTCATCATAGATAACCGAAGACTCACTGTACGCCTGATGTTGAATTAAGCATGACGGATACTACTGACTAGCAGTTTATCAATACTATTAGGTTGAGACACAGGTGCACCGTTTGTTAGGTAAACGAAAAAGACGAGATTCCAAAAATGCTTCTACCGTTTATGAGAGAAAACAAACGAGGGAGGGAAGAGATAGCTGATAATTCCAAGCCATTAGCATTTAGATGGCGTTAACCATAAGGACGTTCACTGTAGAAGGGAGGATTGCTTTCGTGGAGGGTTTTCTGTTTACCGTCCGGGCGTCGGCTTACGAATGCCCGAGGGAATGTGCCTCTGAGGCATAAATTGAGAAGGCGATAACGAAAATCACGGGTTCAATGTTGTGGTGTTTCAAAAGAATACGACCTTCTAGCATTGAAGGCGAGATTTATACAGCGCCTCCAGCTGAGATCACTGCTTGACAGGGTAGTGGACAACGATTTCGTCGTTTTGAAGCGATAAAAAACCTCTAGACCCCCTTTATCCTGACTTTTGGTTTGCAACGAAAACAAAGGACAACAATCGACTGCGCTTTGCAAATGTAGATTGGCAAACAGGACCAGAAGACAACGATGTGTGCGAAGCCCACCAAGACATGCCAGGTTCTACGCAATCACTGTAACTGTCGAAGTCGACTATAGTTGACGATGAGAGATCCAAACCAATATTCGGCGATGCTGAAGTAGTAAGACTCTTCATTTTTTGTACCCTTCCAACGCGTAACGTCATGACTGACGATAAGGTCAGTAGATAAGCGCTGGAAATTCTGGTGGCAACTACCGTACACTGGGAACGTATCCGAAGTAGTTGCTCCTCGTTTCTCATCGTTGGAAACAAGAGCCCACCACAGAATTAAGGCAACAGAACGATGTCTGCGACCGAGGCCTGCTACCCCAGACACGTTTCAGAACAGCGAACGTCGTCTGTCATGTTTGATGCAGCTTTTGCATAGCAGAATACAGTGGAGGACCGGTAAGTGACTGGAAACCCTCGTGAGTGGACACTTGGGGAGCATCTAGAAGTTGTAAGTTGGGTAAGTAATATTGTGCAGCTTCGGGACACGCCTTCGTATTCCAGAACACGGGTTTAAGGATTGGCTAATCAACGACAGAATCACTGGGGAGTTGACATGCCGGCATAACTTCCAGTAACCACCTCGTGGCACTCTTTAAGGCCTGTCAGGCCACAGGAATGCAGCTGAGACAGCGGAACTACGAAAAGAAAATCGGAACGAACAATAACATAGACAAAACCCGCACCTAGCCAGAAGGTATCCGGACCTGAGCATACATTAGAAATGAACGCAGGGAGGGGGGAGGGAGGAGAGTGGAGCGGAAAGAGCATGAAAGATCTACTATAAGGCTTGAATGCAGAAGGGTGTTAAGGCTGGTCGAGCGTGAGCGATTACGACAGGTGTCGGCATCGGCATGACAAGTACATAGCAAAAATTAAGGTGAATGCGAAGGCGGAACAAGGACGGAATGCACACGACTACGTCAACAAAGACGGCGATGCGGAGGAGAGTTATGAGCGTTGACACTCATGGGCCCTCTCCGAACCGGGAACGGGAGAACCATTATTTCCACGACAGCCATCGTGCGCAGGTATCTCATCATTCCAACGAGAATTTCGGCGAATTTTGCAGCACGGTCTCCTGTTCATTCTGATTGCCATAGATAGGCTTTGAATGCTATAACTTGAGCGCGTTATATAACCCAATCGGAGAACATCAGTTCAGCATACTTAATATTCCTGATCACAATCGGAAGGGCAGCGGGTCGGCGTCTTAGTGGTAGATCTGTAGTCTTAACGTTTAATGGCCATAGTACTCTAATAAAGGCGACAATATTGCCCAGACCTATTTCAGTCTCTGGAAAAGCCGCGGAGTAGTGTTCTTGGAAAGAAATATAGTCACGTTGACTGAACTGAACGTATCAACTTTTCTGCTCGTATGCGAAATGATAGACCTGAGAACTAATAAATATGATAGGGTGCATTAAAAAGGTCAGGAGAATCTGCCAGCAACTTTACAGCTAATAAGGCCCTAGAATGGATATACTATGAATTTTACACAGAATCTGCTGTGTGGCAGGTTCAAAACAAAATTTGGACACCGGGTGTCACTTCAAATCTTTCCACGTCTTGGTGCCTGTGAATTTGCGGCAGAGGCAAGTCTTAATATTCTTTCTTACTTTGACAGCCACTAGCGGTTTAAACTCTTAATCGTGATATTTCAACATATATACCTTAAGAGGAATACGCATCCAGCAAAGTCTAGTCAATGTTTGTAGGAAGTTAGGCAAGACACGTGAATAGGAACCCCCCATAATAAAGGTGGCCTTGCTCAAAATTCCAGGAAGTGTACTTATTCCCATGTCCTAACCCTAACAAAATAACCAAACCCACACCTTAATCCTAACCCTGATCCTAGCCTTGACCCGTACGTTAATCCTAGTCTCCCTGGACTTCGGCGTAAAATCAGCTGTATAGGGGGCGGTTCCTAGGTTCGGGTCCTACCGAAGGTTAAACTGGTCGAAGCATCAGGCGCTTTTACAAAGGTGCGAGGACAGCAAAATATAAGGCAGAAGAAAAAAGTCCAAGTATTGCGCATTTAACCTGCGCTGTCCACCGGTGGAAAACAAAGATGCACTTTGGGCACACTCTTGAGTCTTTGTCAGCCAGAGAACGTTATTGTTGAAGAACCTACTTGCAGCAAAGGAGGAAAACCACTGAGATTTTTGAAAGAGGAGCTAAGCGCAATGAAGAACATTGTAAGGTCTGTTGCCGACAGCTATCATGGCTATTCCTGGCATTCTTACTCAAGACCCCATTGCGTCAAGGTCATTCACATTTTCAGTGAGCTGTTCCAGGCGCGCTGACCTGCAACCCCCGACCGACTTCAACCCGACGCACATGCTAACAGCTGCCCAATTAGCCAGTTAAACACTCCACTCCCTGTGAAAGCAACACAAGCCACCTGAACATCCACCCTCAACAAATCAACACCCACATCAGTTGAGCAGCACTTCGAATTGCCCTTCAAACCTACAAAAGCATGCTGCCACCACTGTCTAAAAAAATCTGAGGCATGAGCGGACGCAATCATCAACAGTCCTGGCTTCGCCAGAGGCCATTGCCACCTGAGAAGACAATCCCCCATTCTGGTGACTCCTGTCTTCTCTTTACAATCCGGGATTTGACCTGATGAGTTGTAGCGTTCTGAGTGCACACTCTCACGGCTTAGACGCTACATTTCCGAATAGTTCGTGGCCCATAGCCATGTAACCAGACGGAATCATGGTAATTGGAGTAAGATACTTTCCCGCAGTCCTCATCCGGCCGTATTAATCGTCCTTCCTTCTGACCGTAATCTCTTCTTCACTCTACACAAATCAAAAGGCCTCGACTATTGGTCCGTATTACCTCCATTTATCTACTGGCTGTGGATGAAATTACGGTCTTATCGCAGATGCTGACTCAATTTTATAAGAACACCTCATCATTCTTACAAGATTCTGCAGATTTTCACTGACCTTATACACAACTGTTCATCCTGAGCATCGTGGGAGTAAATCAGTATTTTAGATATTTGCTCGAATTAGCATATTACTTACTACCTCAGTGGACCAACCAGCACAATATAAAAGCAGCGTCTTTGATGTTTTATCCTTTTATTGGCTAAACACACTTAAAAAAGAACGCCATGTTATCGTACCGATCCGGACGTAAGTTAACAAAACCTTTTCACAGAATTTGCATATGCTTCATGCTAAATCAGAGTGTATTTGCATAACCTGGCAATAAGGAATTGAGCAGAGCGAAATGAGAATGACACACGTTAAGTTTTTTGAATCCAGAGAACCCTTTGTTAGGAAACGAAGAGAAGTAAGGACTTAAGACTGCAGAAAAAGGAGTCGATCACCTTTTGATCTTGACAAGAAAAAAACGCGTCTACCAAAACCAATGAAGCACGCTTACTAATGGAACGCTCGTAGAAAGGTTTTGTTTCGAAAAATGATGGCCACTTCTACCCACCCGGTTAAGATAACAGAATATAAGCAACGCAGAACGGAATATCGGACGAAAGCTGGTAACTTTACGGGTGATTGGGGATTTAACCGAATCTGCAACAAAGTTTTCTCGGGCCCTCTATGCTCTGACTGACGTAAGCCAACGAGTAAACGTATATGTGGCTGGTCCCGGAAAGTCGAAAATTCGCTGTTTTACATTTTAGGCTTACGTTGGCTACACAGGTCTAACAGGACGACATAGCTATTAAAAATACTGATACTGTTAGTTGAACTCCGTTTTTCGATCTCCGTCCCACTTATGCGAGTGTATGCGCACTTCAGCAATGAGCAAGTAGAGACAGAATGTAAATTCGTTGATAAAGTGGCTATGCTCCTCACTTCAGAAAATGCATTCTGTACTTCGTGCGATTAGATCAACACTACGACATAAACTCAGTTGTCGAAAGAGAACGTAAATTAGGGTGACTGGTAGCTTTGCCAGTATTTCCTTGTCCGTCAATGATCATCGACTTTCAAAAAGTTCTGCCTTTTTTCAGAGTTCTAAATTTCAAGATTTTTGATAAGGCATAGTTAATTCCGCTGATGCATATTCAAAAAGCCAGATTGCGGAATATTCACACTCTGGCATGCACTGTTCTCAGTGCTACCAAAGGTACGAGTTTCTAGTCGTCAACTCAAAAAGTCCGCTGTAACGTAGAAAGCCGCAACGCATGGCGGTTTAAGTCCACCGTGAAGAGTCTCAACGATGACGACCTTCAAAACGCCAGAGCGCAAGTCCTGACTTGGCCCCCCAATGCGTCCGGATTACAGATGCGCAAACTTAATGTTTTTCGACAACTATGGAATCTGTGCTCTCTTATGGGACCTTCGTAAATTGCTAAGTGATCGTGTCCACTTTCCGAAACAACCGTCCTTGCCGAGTGCTCAGAGGAATCCGATTGTCCGATTCTGGCCTAATACCTATCACCTTCACCTCCACTGTAGCGTTGATTATGAAAATTCCATCCGTCGATTTCAACTCACACTAGAATGTACGAAAGACTCGCATGACAAGAACTGCGCTGGCATTAATATTTTCAAGTAGATATGAAGGTGACCCCTTAGCTTGGATCCTGTGAGTTTGACAACATAAAACCGTAGGTGTCCTTAGTACTCCAGTCGACTGGAGAAACAGCTTTAAGAACTGCACTGTTAACTGTTAGAATGGGCTAGAAAAATCTCGAAGACATTGCTTGCTGCAGACAAACTGGTAATACAACGATAACAGACATTTTCAACAAATACCAACAGAGACATTTGGAAAAAGAGAAAATTTCGGTGGAGAAAACGTTCAACCCCAACAGAAGGAACAATGCGAAAATTAACGTACTGACCTAACTGCGCATCTGAGAATACGCATGCCAATAAAAGCTAATAGCAAGGACAAAACGAAACATAAAATTGAAATTAATAAACGTGAAACGCCATATGAAATAAAGTCCGACTAGCTTGTGAAATGTCCATTTACGTTGATAAGAGCTTGGTAAAGTTTCACCTATCAGAGGAAAAGAGTATTATTTTTAGTGCATGCATTATTTCACTGTTTTTTACATTGCGCTTCGAATGCAAGACCTCCTGTCGACATGGACGTCCCGATAAAAACCTTGTTCAGAAGTCCGCAAAGATCTCAATGGCTTAAGGCAAACACTCGGAAAGCCAGGCTTTACCAAAATATATAATTACGGACAGAGGCCGAGAAAATAAAAACAATTTTGCGGCGTATTTTCGAGTCTCCGTCAATATTTTCACACACCTAAACTGATTTAGCTCGGGTGCTGATAACTTTTATAGAGAATATGGGACGTCATGTGAGAGTGGTGATTATCGATTTAGACTGCTTGTCAGTCGGAATACGGACAAAAACGGACAGCATTCTCCCTCCTGTGACCAGTTAAAACTAATTTCCTTTGCACTCTCCTTTGTCGCCGGATAAGTGCAGGCTGGCCCATAGAACGACTTAATATTTGAAATAGTAATGAGTATTCTGAAATTTTTCCTTAATCCTTCTTTCAGGTTTTGAAGTTTTTGTCTACTGTACAACAAATAAAAATCGCTGCACTTTGTAGCAAGTGCGAGAACATAGAATAAGTGCTGCTCAGCACTGTAGAAGGCAACATCAAATCATCCCATTGCTAAATGATGGTATTTGGTATAAGAGGCAGGCGTGCAATTTATTTCATACATGCTACTGAAATTCAGTAACTAACACGTATTTAATTTGTCACATTTCGGAAATACCAATGTAGTGCCTTGAGCGTTTTCTGATATTTCTCATATGGTTAACCGAAGCCACCAGTAAGACCACTTGTGATGACACGAGAACTTAGGAAGAAGTGTTAATGGGTTAAACTACCCTTGCACAAAATAAATCTAGATCAGTAAGTTAAAGTAAACATGAAGGCGCTCATTCAACGATGGTGATTATTTTTGAATCGGTAAGTTGTCCTTGATAGATGCCGGTAGTCAACGCGGGGTGCATATTATCTACGGTATTTCCTTTTATGTTTGCCCGCCACTGACGTTTTTGCACCACGAATATTCGAACAGCCCTGATCAACTTGTTTATTTTCTTTTGAGTCTCATGTAACTAATACATGTTTTTCATCAGCACAATATGACATTTCTAGGACGTAGTCACTGGAAATGTGATTCTGGCATTTTATTCTGGTTATATTTTCCCCCACAATGCTTTATAACAGTAATACTATTACGGGGTTGCCTCAGTACAGTGTCAAATCTTTCAAGGATTTATGTTGGAGAAGGAGCTGACGAAGCACTTACGTGAATTAATAACTGAGACCGTTTCGTTCTTCATTCAATGTTTGGGTTTATATTGACTTGGTGTCACCGAAGGGAAAAGCATACGCCTAAAGCCAGCGGTCTATGCCAGTCTCTTTTAAAACGCGTGCATCAGTGTACAGAAAGGCACAGGAATATAGGCAAAATTTCGGCTTTCTTTATGTTTATCCAACCGGCCGACCAGTGTACGTAAACAGTTGGAACATAAGCACGTGAATAGCAGATGACTGTAGAGCAAGAAGGTCACAACTTCGGGGTATACAAGACTGCCGTCTTACGAATATGTGACAACTATTGATTTTGCGCTATCTCTCGTCTAATAATCCTGCTTGTTAGGCAGGTAGTTTAATCTCCGTGTAAAAACTTATAATTGTGCGTGTTATGGGGTTCAAGACTGTAGTTGGACAACTGTGGGCGAACGTTTGGTTGAACATCTGTGCCGCCAGCTCAAAGCGAGTGCTGTCTAAATTGTCTAGTTCGGGCAGGCTGAGGCAATTCACCAAAAACTGATTAACCAGGTCAAGTGCTAGCGCTTTCTCCCAGTGGTGAGCGATTAAGGACTAGCTAAAAATTGGCTGAAATCTTAATAAGGGTGGTTTTTCTGTGGATAAAAAAGGCAAATTAAATGCAGCAGTTCTCACAGAAAGTTTTTTTTGAAAATCCTTAATGCATGCTTAAATATTCATTAAAATTTCGCTTTCCTCTCTCAGATGACCATTGTGAACAGCACCCCGCGCTGTATTGCTCTGCGCCGTTTGCAAACCGAAGAATAAAACCCATTGTAAATTTGCCTATTTCCAATATAAGATCCTCGAGCATTTTTTGTTTTTTAATATTAAAAAGTTGCGCAAGTTAGGGATCCTTTTTTGGATTTCTTCTGACAAAGTCGACCATTCTGTCAAAATTTACACTCATATGGGACTTTCCTGCAGATCTGTCGAACCTATTAGAATCGAAAAGATCGAGGGCGCGATGCCATTTCAGACAAATAGTTGAAGGAAGTAAACACGTTCCCTCACTTTTGGTTATCCAGATCCTTAAGCACTCTGGTGGATACCTGGATCAGGTAAGTTCTGTAATGTTTTCTAATTTCTTCAGTTAATTTGCAACGCACTGTCAACATGTTTTTCTGTTTGGACAACCTGAAAACTTGCGTGGAATCTGAACCCTGTCAAGTGGACGTTTGACCCTCACTGTTGTGGTTAGGATCTCACTCGATCCCATTCTGTCCGCCCGCCAGCTTGCTACTGGCGACAACGAACGCTGTGTCAGAGGACACATACCACATATAATACATGAGCAGCTCGCTAAGAGTGCAACAGGCCAGACGCAGACAGCTGTTTCACGGTCGTTACCGATCATCAGTACGTCATAGGCCTTATGAAGTGAGGTATATAAGCATGTCAATTGAACAGAATGGGATCGAGTGAGATCCTAACCACAACAGTGAGGGTCAAACGTCCACTTGACATGCTTATATACCTCACTTCATAAGGCCTATGACGTACTGATGATCGGTAACGACCGTGAAACAGCTGTCTGCGTCTGGCCTGTTGCACTCTTAGCGAGCTAATCTGAACCCTTCCCACTAAACAGAAAATTTAACGCTATGCTGAAAACTCCCGTTGGCTCCAGTTTGGCTAAAGAGCCGACGCCTCTGGTCCGATGAAAGTGATCGCTTGTGACAGAAGTCGTACCGAAAATTTCTTCCTCACCACCTGCACTGCGAGTCGTGTATAACTGGCTGACGAATGAGATGAAATACCTGCGAGTCCAGTTAGGCTTTGAGCCTAACGCTAATGAGGATACTCAAGGCAGCCAGCGACCTACGATCAATGCCTAATGCATATACGAAGCCAAGTGTTTGAAAACAGCCATTATGCGACTGCCGGAAAGCATTATAATGATTTAATCTCTGTAGGAACTATTGTTTCGACCAAGTGGTAATTTAATTTCAAGCCTCTGATGAATGTCTGCACACAATGAATTATCACTGGTCGTCTGATGTTTCTTAATTTTGCAAATTATTATCTAAATTACAGAGAATTTTGGTTTTGCCACGTTGTCAATTCTGGTGCGCATAAGTTTATCCAATAATTAGGGGAAAATGAGCGGGAATACTGGGCCTGAGGAGAGAAAATCTACATCAATTCACGAAAAAACGCCTCCAAGTCCCTCAAATCTAAGTTTTTTAAAATAGACAGTAAATTTCCTCAAAAGAGTGGCTTTAATTAACGCTGTTTCTTAGAAAAGACATTGAAATTCAATCGTCTTTCTGGCCGGTTTACAAAAAATGGGTAAACTTTACGCAAGGACTGATAACCAGTGAAATATGAACCCCAGGTTTAGCATTGTTTTTTTTTCAAGTGGCGTTGGCTTTGAGAATTGAATAGATTCCTAGGAATAGTTCGCAATTCTTTGCCCTGACGAAAATGTGCATGCTTGAAGACACGCTAGATGACCCAAGTCCATGCTTCATGTAGACTGGCGTTAGTCGCAGGTGTGCGAACAACATCTCACAAGGCTAATGTCAAATCAGGCGTAAAGGCGAGAATTTTAGCCACTGCTAGTCGAAGAAACGCCAGTTTTAGATGCAAACGCGTATGTCCCACAGTGAGTTTAAAGGATAAAGTTTGGCTCTTCATCTACGAGATTCACTGACCTTAGGTCCTTCCATCTGGAACTGAAATCCGTGTCTGTTAAGATTTGCCATTCAATTGTAAGTCCACATCACTTTGCCCCATGAAGGGTCACGCTAATGTGAATTTGGGACGTCTCAATGACTAAATGGTAAGAGTTGAACTCAAGCTCTGCGTGACCAGCTGAAATCGAATTAACACTTTTTTGTTCGACGTTTGGCTTCGGTGTGAGGGCAGTTCATAAGGCCAAGAAAGTCGGTACTGATCAGTTCGGTTTATACTGCTTTCGGTGGCGTCCATCTTATACTGTTGTGCGCACTTCTGTCTGTTACGACGTTTTATGCATGGCACAAATAAGGTATATATACGCACTCTTCGTAGACCAGACCGGGAAAAGCCAAAAATAGTTATGTGAAGCCACACTCTTAACCAGTTTATATCTGAAGTGCGCTTACGTAAAGGCTCCCGAAAGTCAGAAATTGGCTGAAAAAGACGTAAAATGCTCTCAGCATGTTAAAATAATTATCGAAAAATGTTTGTTGAAAGATTCTTCGTCAACTCTAAAGGAGAATTGCTCCACATCAGTGTCAGAATAATTCCGCTACAAACGACGATGGCAGTGAGGAAGTTGACTAAATAAATTAACGTTACCTCTTTAAATCTCATGTGTTTACAATAGGATATTTAAACAAAGCGCGAAGTCAGGATCACAAAATTTACTCATGTGCGGTTGTGCTGTATATATATGCAGTGACCTGCTGAGTAAAAACATATGTTCTTCTGGATAAATTCCTGGGTATACGAACCGTTAAAAAGCCAACACATCCAATGTCTGTAAGATGTCCTTTCAGACAAAAATAGTTGTCCAGAAAGGCAGTATTTATAAATCATTTAGGAATACCTTCAAATAGTAGTACCTGACATGCGATAAAATGATAAAAACAACAAAAAATGCATACAGTAGGTGACCTAAGATGTGGACAGTGCCTAAATTGGCAAATGGCTGCTAGTTACACGCAACCGAAAACAAATGCATGAAACCAATATCAAGATTAATAGACAACAACTATTAGACAACTAAAAACATAAAAATATCAAATAAAATTTTTATTCATTAAGAATTGCCATTTATTAAAAAAAGCGACGAATTACCAAAACCTCAGAAGCGGTCTTGATTTTATAAACTTCTGTTTTATTTATACAGGAAGACCGTACAATCAAATGGACTGAGTAAATATGAAAGTAATAATAGGATAACGTTTAACAGTTGTCTTTGAGTGGTGTTAGAATTTAAAAATCCCCTAAGAATTAGTTCAACGTCAGGTACGACGATTCGTTAACGGCCTAAATTCTAAATGCAGACTCCAATACGGTTTTCAGGGAATTCATCGTATTTTTGAGCTTTTGCATTGATTAAAATGCGGTTTGGTAAGCTAAGCAGGAAATATTATTGATTTCGTTGATAAGGACGTCATAGGAGAAAACGCTTCCAAAAGACACATTGCCAGGCCGGTCAGCGAGTATTAAATTCAAATGAAATTGGCAGGTATAATCGCAAACATATCATTTTGTGTATATAAGGAGGACCTTTCTTCCGTGAAATGAATGTGCACTTTTCCTATGTTCCAGGTTACGTCGAGTCACAGATCGACCTTAAAATACCGCTGAATACTCCATGGTCTGCACTGTTTTAAATCGATCACCCATACAAGTAGATTCTTCATTATATGCTGATTAAAGCCTCCCAAATAAGACGCTTCTTGAAGGAGTTTGCCGAGGTAATGAGTGTTTGGGCGTTTTCTGTGCAGATGGTCGCTTGAACTGCATTTAAAGACTCATCCAAACATGAGACGTCCACAGCAAAAATCAAAAACAAATAAACTCCCGATCAATTATAAAATGTTCTCTAATTAGTCGCCTTTAAAGTGCGCCCCCTGGAACACGAGAATATGAACCCCTCCGCGTATTACAGATGGTCTGCAATTAATAACGATAAACAGGGTTTTTTGTTGGAGAGAGCCTTAGGGTCAGGGTTACGGTTAGAGTTTGGGGGTTAGCGTCAGAGTTAAGGCAAAGTGGGTTAGATTTAGGGTAAAGTTCAAAACTAGGACACGAGATTAGTTGCCCTCTGGGATTGGACACGTAGCCACCAGTTGTACGGGGGTCCTTTTAGGGAGTTAATACCCCAACTTGCGTATCGGGGAGCAGTGACTGCATTATAAACATTTGGCGGGCGTACTCAATGACATTTTAACAAAATAAGAATTAAATTGGTGAGACACACTATCAGGGACTTTGATCCAAAAACAAGTCCAGCACGTCAGACTGATGGTCATTGTTTGAGAATCTTCCCATATATATCCGCCTAAGCCACAAATGGAAACAGAATCACCGTTTAAACGCCTAATATTACTGTTACAGTAAGTAACCTATCTCTTGAAACCTGGTGACGAAAGCTGATGTGAGAATTTTCGGATGGCCTAGGCGTTGCGAATTTGGCTTGCTCATCCAGCCTTCTCACAAGGATGTTCTTTCCTTATGCAGAGCCTGTTTTTATTTCATTCTATCAAGCACAATTTTCAATAATTTGGGCGGAAATGGAAGTTTTCATAAATTTGAGCAACTTCCCATTCTAATACCCGTCCTAGAGTTCGGTGGCGCATTTAAGTGTTTCTTCACTAGAAGGAAAGTAATTTACTCTCAAAAAGTTTACTAAACAGGGCGTTGTGGACATCCATTTTATTCGACGCTGAAGTTTTATGCTTGAGTGAATCTTCACAGGTGACCCAAACGACCATCTACATAAAACGGAACGCCCAAATACTTGCTACTTAAGAAAATGTCTTCAAGAAGTATCTTATTTTAAAGTTTTTACCAGGTACATAATATTGAATCTGCCTGCATGGGTGATCGTGTGAAAATATTGAAAATCATAAAGTGTTCGGCAATATTTCAAGGCCGGTCTGAAACTCAACGTAATCTAGAACAAACGAAATTGCAACTTCACTGAACGGAAGAAGGGTTCTCTTTATAAATATAAAATAGTATTAGTGCAACTCACTTTTCCGAAAAGTCCTCTCTTCCTCATTATACCACACTGGAATGCACACCACGTCAGTTATTAAACAAAATGATATGCTTACGATTATGCCTGTCAGCTCCATTTGATTTTATTAGTCACCGACCGGCCTGGCAGCGTATGATCTTATGAATACTTTTGTTCCTATGGCTTCCTTATTGGTGAAATCAAGCAAAATCCTGTTTTTCTTATTAGACCGCATCTCAATCATCTTAAGAGCCAAGAATACCATGAATCCTCGGAAAACTGCTTTGGAATTGATGTTCAGACTGTAGGCTATTGCCAAACCGGCAAACCTAAAATTACACTAATTTTTAAAGCTTATTTAGCTGCAAACTCCACTAAAGCACTGTTTATAGACGTTATTCGATGTGTGATTTCCTTTTTCTTTTGTTTTTTTTGGATGAGGGAATATTCTGTACATCTAAAAACAAAGCCTTCTAAAGTATTACCATTTCTGACGTTTTCGGGACGTTGCACTTTTCTAAAATATTGGTACTTCAAAGCAACGCCACACCGTCTGTAATATTTTTATGTTTTTAAATCTTTTATAGTTGTACTTAATTAAAATAGGTATAGATCTATGCATGGATGTCGGCTTGAAAGTGGTAAGTAGTCACTTGTAAATTTTGACACCTTCCATGAGTTAGGTAGCACAGTGTATATGCCTATTTAAAGAAAGAGGATTTTCTCCCCTACTAAATTTGCAGAATTATTACTTGCCCGCCAATTTTACTGTGCGATGTTTGTTTTTCTATGCCGTAAACTAAGTGAAATTTCTAAGAATTATCTGTCAGCCTTTTAGGGAAACTATCGAACATATATGAAAGTCCAATTTAAGTTTTAACCTTGGTGCTTATTATCAAAATATGAGAAATTTGACCTTAATTGCCGAAGACCTTTGGTACAAACATTCGACAGCATCAAAAAACGAAAAGCATGAAATTACATATATTATTTGGCGCTTACAGGAGAAAATGGTGATGCGTTTCCTTGCTCTCATCGAGATTTTACAAACTTTAAGTCAGAAAAATGAATTGAAGCAAAATAATTCATAATTATATTCAAAGTCGTTTGAGAAATGGAACTCTGTTTACGAGCAAATGACGTATACAACATTCACACTTTGTGGGATGCAGCTGAAAATCAACTGTAACCTTTGAAGCGTCTCTTATATTTCAATTATGAGGGTTTATTTTTCCATTTCTTAGCATCAAACTGCGCAAAAATCCTACTCCACACTTTTTATTAGACTTTTTAAGAAACAAAATAAATCCAGTTGGAGAGTAATGAAGCCTCCCATGGCTTTAATGTTATCCATCTTTTAAGAACGTTTTGTGTGGAGTTATTTTTCCCACTCTTCGAAATATGACGGCTTATTGGGAAAAAACAGGACTCAAACGAATATCAAAAGTGGTTGAAAGCGGTAGTGTCGTCTATTCCATCACTATTTGAACATAAACAACTTTCATGTGCCCACATCCAGGGCTCAACTGTTTACACATTGACATTTTGGATTAAGGGAGAAAAATAAAAATTAGTGAAGAACAACTCAGGCAAAGATACACGAAACTATTTGCAGCTTCTATCGGAAGCCAATTATGTCTGAAATTGATCTAACCTGTAAATGAGTTAACTTCTTATGAATATAGAATATGCATGATATTTGTCTTACCATGTAAAGACATTTTAACCTATGAGGGCTGCGATGCTTTTACACTGCGAACAAGGGGGGAATAACCTTGGTAATACGACTGATGGCAACAAAGTCAAGGACTGCTCTGTTTTGAATAAAACAGTATCTGCACTGCAAGTACGTCGCGCGACCTTATGAGTAAAGACGCCAAGTATAGTAGTGGACGGATCACGATTTGGTAAATCCGCTGGAATCTTAATATACATTTAAGCTCTACACCAAATAAACGAAATTTAGGGACGTGCGGATTAATTCAAGGAGGAGAGATTAGGTTCTTGAACGAATGGTAATAGAGGGAGTTCACCCTAAAAGGTAGGATGATTGCCCTAAAATAAAGAATTCTGCTTTGCATCATGCGAGGGAAACAGCCATCTAAACGAAGCCCATGAATCACCATTCACTCATATTTTCGTATTTATTGACTGGATTTTGGCAGTAACACTATGGTAAATCTTACTGAGTCACATTTTCCAATCATGACCACATTGTTTCAATGACTGGTCGATCTCTCTGGTTGGACGTCATTCTTCAGGTTAAAGCTCTGGCTAATCGGTGACCCCAAATAAGTCAAGAATCCGTTTGCTTATAATATTATATGGTATTCCTTAGTATAAGCTTATTTTTGATCAACTTTACCCTTTAAGTCAGAGGTAAATAGAGATAAGTTTTCCTTCACATATCCGTTCGGTGACCTGTAACCGCAAATTGTCTTATTAATTCTTAATAG